TCTCTCTCTCTCTCTCTCTCTCTCTCTCTCTCTCTCTCTCTCTCTCTCTCTCTTTGTATGTATAAGAGAACTCAAGTGCACATGCACACATGGGTGTGGCATTCAGAGGACAATTTTGGACAGTTGATCCCCTCATTCTACCTTTATGTGGCTTTTAGAGGCTAAACTCATGTGCTTTTTCACTCTGAGCCATCTTGCTGGCCCTGTATACACATTCTTAATTAAAGTGAGTTTCATTAGTGAAATGGCAATAACGCTCAGTGTGTGAACACATCTTGTTGCTACAATCATGATAGCATCGTAGCACCTCGTTATCATGTTTCAGAGATCAGGGATTTAGCTCAGTAGTAGAGTTCCTACAAAAAGCAAGGTCCTAGGTTAGGTCCTCATCTGGGGGGCTGGGGTTGGGTGGAGGAACATACCCTATAGCATACCTAAGATACAAATATATAAATACCTAAGATACAAATGAAATTTTAGAAAGTACAATATTTGTTTTGTATTTGACTACATTCCAATAGATTTGGTAGACTACTAGGTCTGTAAATTTTCTTCCAATAAGAGGTACCTGGTCTCAAAATTTACATACTGCCTGCCCATAACTTGTTGAAGTGAGATTTTACTTTTTTTAAATAAAGCTTTGGGAAATATAAATCTCTAATACATATAAATCTTGAATCAAGAAAATATGAATCACTTATATAAAGTGGAAAAATCAACTCAAGACTTGAAAATTAGTATATACACACACATGTATATGCATATGTAATTGTGTCCAAGTATGAGGTACTGGAAATAGAACCCAGGGCCTACCATATGCTAGGCCAGCATTCCACACTGGACTACATCCTTGGCCTTTAAATATACACTTGATGTTTAATGAGGAGAAATTATATCACATAAAATAATTAGAAAAATCAACTCACTTATTACAGATCTTTTCACTTTGGGAGACTAAAGGCAAGTTAGGGAATAAAATGTGTTAATGTATGACTCTATGTAAAATTTACAATAAAATTAATCACTGTGCTTTGAGTTTCAAAGGCAAGGTAAAGCCAGCGTGTGTGTATTCCTATCAGAATGAGATACCCTCAAATCATCAACTTTGAACAGGTAGAAAGGCTAGATAACTCTTCAGAGGAGAAAGTAGCATAGAGGCAAAAGGAGATAAGCGGGCAAGTGGGTAGACAGCCCACCTCTGGCATCGAGGCCCTGGGCACACGCGCGGCCCTGAGCACATGCGCAAAGCTCCCTCCCACATCCTCTCATTTGTCAGCTATGTAGGCACCAGCTCAGCAATCAGACCCTCAGAGCCCACAGATGTTCCTCTACATGGATAATTCCCTTGCAAATAATGATACCTTGTGCTCTTACATCCTATTTAACTTTTCAAAGTAGTCTCGTTACAAACATTATCTCCTCCCCTAGCTGTTTGCAAAGCATGAGCCAGCTTAGCAAAACAGAGACCCCCAGTTACCACAGTTAACTGCAAAGTGCGTATTTCAGTACCAAATAACAGCCTGTGTTTTCCTTTGCAGTTAGCTTTTCAAAGGGCCTTCAAAGGGTCTATTATTTAATTGCTTGTTCACAACAACCCTGTGAAAGGAATCAGGTGGAAACCACATGTTCAGCTCCATTGTACAGATGAGGACATGGTACAGGCAAGGATGCAGAGCTAGGGGCATCACTCACATCCCCTCTTGCCCTGATCCAGGCCAGTCCTGCACAGTGCCTCTCCCAGAGGAGATGAAGTTAAAAGGTAAATGGTGAGACTTAATCGTACATTTAAAAGTATTGATTGATTGTGTATGTGTGCGGGCATGCAAAGTATGTTCCGTGTGTGTGTGTGTGTGTGTGTGTGTGTGTGTGTGTGCAGGTGGCAGAGTACAGTCTCTGGTGTCACTTCTCAGAGGCTTTCCACATTTTGAGATAAGGTCTTTTACTGTGTCTTGAAACTCACTAGCTATCCATCTTGTCCCTCCACCCCAAACTGCATTATCAGCATACATACCTCGATGCTGGCTTTAATCTGGTACTACTTGAATTCTGAGGCTTGCAAAGCAAGCAATTGACTAAGTGAACTATCTCTCCTGCCTAAACAGTATATTTTATATCAGCAAATTCACACCCAACTGCTCCTAAACGGCTTCATCAAAGAAATTTAACAAATAGACTTAGTGCCGTGAATAGAAAGAACTTTCTATGAACCATGTGATCCCCTCTAACCTGCCCTCTCCTCCCCTGTCCTTTGCCCCTTTTAAAAGTTGACAGAAAGGTGTTAGGCCAGAGACTACAGAAACAATATTTGGGGTCAGGAAAACACCAAGACTAAATCCCTAGGGTGTGATAGGCTATCTTATCAAAGTTCTAAAAGCCCTATCTGAAATCATAAGGCTATCTTTTAAACCATTTTAGAACTCCAATACTGAAATTAAGTGGAAAAAATATATATAGAATAAGAGAGCTTTAGTAACTGCCCCTCCTTTATTTAACCTGTCCAGAGACCCAACATTGAACATGGTGCATGTGAGAAAAGCATTCAACCATTGAACCATATCCTTGGGCTCTTGGCAACCATTTGAAATTAAAGAGTTGCTTTTGTTTTTATTAAATGAATATCTGCAATAGAAATCAGTGTCCTCAAGAAAATCCTGAAGCATGGCTGCTTTCACATCAAGCACATTCATTAAAAATGGACAAAACCAGAGGGAATACAAAATGGCAGAGGTCATTAAGGATAAAGTTCTTCCCATTTCTTCCTCAGACTTGCCAACATAGAATTATGTGAGCGGTGAAGGCGCCTTTAAAGATCCTTTTAATGTGGAGTGTTATTTGGAGTAGAAGACCCTACAAGGGTACAGGGGATATTGAGAAAGAAACAGGAGGATTACGGTTCAAAGACTAATTGTAGCCTATTACCACGCTAATAATACCTTGAAAACAAAAATGCCTGAGTTCTGCTCTACCTCTGTCACCTATGACCCTTTCCCCTTGGGCTCAGAGTTGGACAATGTGGTTCATTATTATCCCAGGAGAGAAAGACCATTGAAGCTTACTTTGGGTGAGCCCTCCTGATGAGCCAAGTCTAAATTGACATCTCAGACGGGTCACCTGAATGGCAGAAGCAAGGCTTTGTGGGAGATTTTCTAATTACAAAGATGTGGACAAGGCGATTAGCAAGGGGAAGTAGTGGAATGGTTTGTTAGAATGGTCCAGAAGGAAACATGGAACCTTGCCACAGTAGGTGTCCTGGCAAAGGGCCCTCACACTGCAGGTGAAACTTTGAGTGAATGGAATCCTCCCTGCCATCCCAGGGACTGGCTAATAAGGGTATTAACCATCACCGGAGGGAACAGCAGGAAACCTTCCAGCCAATGTGCTCTTCCTGGCACCTTGACTACTCAATAAAATAAATAAGAAGACAGAAGTGTGGCAGGGGCTGCCCATAAGCCTCACTTTTTATCAAAATACCAACTTTCCTCATCAAGTGCACAGATTTGATGAATGTGACTCACTGTTCCAAAGTTAATTAGTAAAAGGTAAGTAATTTATTCTCTAAAGGGCAGATTAAAGATGAAGCCTTAATAAGGAGCATGGCTCCTGTAGGGACCCTTTTCAGAGCTCAGGAGTCTCTCCCACAAAGATTCATATACCATATCCTTCTTCCCCTTCCTCAAGCTGCCACTGTTCCTGCATCAAAAGATGCCTAGTGGTTCCTCCCAAGCAGCAATTTGATAGAGCTGGAATTGAACCACTGTGGTTGCTTGCAAGGTTCTTAGAAATGTTTTCTGGAGTCAGTTGCCTCCCAATAGTTTGAATGTACATGATGCCGTCAGAGCCCATTTGGGCAAACATTTAAGTGTATTCATTTCTATATGCATGTCCCAGCGATGCATACGAGGACTCAAGGAAAGATAGACATAGGCTGAGCAGAACCTCTTTCAGGATTACCTGAGCTGTCTGTCAGCTCCAAAGCACAGAATGTGAATCTTGGGTACGAGACAAATTAACTCTGAACATTTTTCATGTATCCGATGTCACTTATTCAAAGATTACAGGCCCTGATAAACATATCTAAATTTTTTCCTGGATGTTACATTGTTTTCCTAAAAATCAATTTGGTTCTTTGTAATCTGGTGAAAGGGCCATTTTATAACCCTTGTGTAAATGGAAACCCAGTAGCACAGGCTATTCCAATCAGACCATCTTGAAGCCAGCACATGCTCTTGGGACATCAGATCATGCTGTCCCTTAACCAAAGAGTTCTTTAAGAAAACCCAAGGACTCTTCCCATATTTTAGTCATTTTCTTTTTCTTTTTTTATTGGATATTTTATTTATTTACAATACAGATGTCATCCCCTTTCCCCATTTCCCCTCCCTAGAAACCCCCTATCCCATTCTCCCTCCTCCTTTATGCTTTTATACCATTTTAATTACATGCAAGTATGAAGGTCAGTTCTAGGCTGAGGAACTAGCAATACAATAGATGCAAATAGTCAAGGAACAAACAAGACAATAAACATTTTCTTAATATTGTTTCCCATGTTTGAACAATAAAATACTGTTGAAAGCCAGCAGGATGGCTCAGTGGATAAAGTTACTTGCTACCAAGCTACTTGTGTTTGATCTTTGGGACTCCTATGGTAGAAGAAAAACCAATCCCTGCAAGTTGTCCTTTGACCTACACATGTATGCTGTGGCATACATGAGTGCACACACATACATGTCAAATAAATAAATAAATAAATAAATAAATATTAGAAAAAAAGAGTAGCCTCAAATAATCTGAAATCATTGCTATCACAGGGGAAGGGTTGTCAGAGAAATTTAATACAGAGTCCGTCAGTCTGGGAGGTCCTGGGTTTCAAGTTGCATTTAATTATATAAGTATTAACAGTCCTTTGAAAGACATGTTTAAAAAGCAGTAAAGAAAGTGATTAAACTTGAGACCACAAATATATAAACATGTAAACAGGGAAACGGTGATTTGCTCTTTAAGAGAATGTGTGTATAGCTGGGATAAAAGTTCTCATGACAGTACTCCAGGGTCACATCTATAGTAGGGACAGTTGGGTGCTCTGGAAAGTAGATATTCTCCTGAAATGATAACCAAAGCCCAGATCTACAATGCCATAAAATGTAAATTAGAGGTTGTTGAGACAGCTCACTGGTTAAAGGCTTCTGCTGCCAAGTCTGAAGACCAGAGTTTGATCCCCAGAACCTTCATGATAGAAGAAGAAAATGAATAACAACAACAACAACAATAATAATAATAGGAGGAGGAAGAAGACTCCTGCAAGTTGTCTTCTGACCTTTATACATACAAGCATACACAATAGATAAAATGTAAAAAATTGAAAGTACATTAACTTATTTTCTTGACATTATGTGGGTTGTAAAAATGTCTCAGTCAACATAATTGCCCAGACAGCATTTCATGTTGCTTGCATGTTGAGTAATTAAAATCTATAATTGCAATAATTTCATTCTTTGATGGAAATTCCTAAATGCTTATACATTCAAGTTGGCTGAGAAGAAAGAAAGAAAGAAAGAAAGAGAGAAAGAAAGAAAGAAAGAAAGAAAGAAAGAAAGAAAAGAAAGAAAAGAGGGAGAGGGAGAGGGAAAGGGAGAGGAAAGAAGGAAGGAAGGGAAGAAGAAGGCTGAACCTTTCGACTGAAAGAGTGGATTATTCTTGCTTACCTCAAGTTCTGGCTTCTCGTTATAAATTAGATGAATACAATAGAATAAATAAACACCACCTATTTTAAAATCTAGCAACATGCCAATTGTGAGCCTGAGGCAGTTTCTCCTTAAATAACAAATTAGCAACAAACAGATTTGTCTCCTGGTGGCCACCAGAAGCTCTCGAACATTTCCTTTCTCTGAGCCTTTTTCCATCCACATTGACATGCCAACAATACACTGAGATCCAGCTCAGCTCACAAGAGCTCTGCTTTACTATGGACATAGGGTAGGCCCAACCCTTCAATCCTCCTACCTCAGCCTCCCCAGTGCTGGGTGTCACCATGCCTGGCTCCCACCGTCCTTTCTGACAGCAACATTCTGTGGCTCTCAGAAGCAAGAGATGGTGACAGGTGAAGGTAACGTGGCTTCTCCAGGCTCAGATGCTCAGTCTGTGACTTCTTCACACTGTCAGCCTAGACCATTTCAAGGTACCATTTATTACCTGTCCTTTGTACTCTAACTAAAGCCCTGGGTCACGCTTCTTTGTCTACAGTACCTGTCTCTGCTCACCTGTTGTCCTATTTAAATACACGTAGTTGTCCCAGATAAACAGAGCAGACAGCCCAGTAGGGAGAATTAGCTGAGTGAGCACCCTGCTGCTGCAGGCCTGTCAGCTACCTGGCTCCAGGCAGCCCTTCCCCTGACAGCTTTATGGCCAGCACTAAGGAAGAATCAATATGAGGGCAAGGGGCTGACATTTCATTTTCTAAAAACTGATCCATTGAGGACCAATCACCAAGCAGTGTTTATCAGCATTGGGAAGTGACTTTTTTTTTTTTTTAAATGGGGGAGAAGGAGCAGAAATCCACACTGGGTAGGTAACTCGACGGGGTCAATTCTCTAAGGCGGGATGGCCTTATAATTGGAAATCTCATGCAACCCTCTGCCTCTCTCCCCTTATATAATAAAATGATCAATAAAAAAAAAAAAGCACAAAGGGCATTAAGTCCTCAGACTTGAGGATGCTGCCTTTGGCAGCCCCAATTTTTAATAAACCCGTCTCCCTGCATTATAGTGTCCTTGCTTTTCTTTCTTCTCACCAAAGCTAATGTTTGACACAGAACAGCCACAGGAGTGACTGACTTATCTTTAACTGCTTGAGTCTGACTGCTGTGTTTGGGGACACTTTTAAAACAACGACAACCAAAAAAAAAAAGTGAAAGAAAAGAGAAGGAAAGGAAATTTACAGAAAAGCTGGCCCACGAGATGAGTTCAGTGTACAAGATGAGCTCACTTGCCAAGTGCTTGAAGCGCTCATGTGCCCCTAGGCATCACACGGTAGCCAGATCTTTTTAGACTACTGTTTTTGAAGTAGAGGTCATTCATGTTTTTCATTAATTTTTACCATTTTGGTACTTCCTGTGTTTATATTTGAAGCACTGTAATATGCATTAATGTAAACAAATGTCCATGTAATTTCTACATTCCCCCCATCTCATTCTTCTCCCTGCAATTGGACGAGTTCAGGGCAATGTACCATTTCCTATGCATTATAACAATGCATACAGAAGTAAAATCTCAAGGCAGGGCAGCAACAGGGAAAAGTCTTGATCGCCTTTCAAATTTTTCCTTCTTGGAGACATAACTCACAGCTCTAGTTGAATACGCCTACTTAAAGATTGTGCAAAAAGGAATGAAGCCAATGACGAATATAGAGACACCATACAGAGCAATACATCGTTCCATAGTGTGTTAGTACTGGAGTGAACAAACGGACCTTTGTATATATACTGGGGCACTCTACAAACCAAGGGTAGAATCAAGATATTACGAGATGCATGGGCCTCTCAGGCAAACCCTTACATTGGTTCATCACCCTAATGTCAACACACGTCAATGTGAAGTAACAGCATTGTGGCATGATGGAGACAGCCAGAGACATTGGTGAGATCATCAGCAGGTGGATGGGACAATCTGACAGTGGGTGGCCTGCAGGCCAAGCATGACTCTGAGGGTCCAAACAGAGCTCTAACTACAATCATACCAAAACGATGCTGGATAAATGTCGTAACTCCCTTTATGTCATTTTTACCCTCGGTCACTTGAAGAGCATTATACTGAAGATTATATTCACATCGAGAGATCTGCTCTAGAAAATTGTGAATGTGGTATTCGGTGAGAAGTGGCTAAGATGAGGATCATTGCAGCTGATGATGAGCATCCAAACCCCGCGACACTATTGGTCAGTGTGAACAACTAGGCGGGGTGATAGAAGACTGCTCCAAAGACCATGCAACCAAGCCATCACTACTTCTCTTTCAAGCATCAAGGTACACCTTACTGTACATGGGATAAACACACTGTCCGATCGGATTCTCTTCCAAGAGAATCACTGTGCCCAGAATGATCAATGAGAGTTGTGAAAATGTCGATGTTCTTTTAGGGATGGGGAAGCACAGTGCTCACGCTCTTTACTATTCTCATTAACTAATGTCATGCTGTAGCACCTACTGTGCTACTGTAGTATCTAACACGTTTATCAAAGTTTCTTGCCAACAACCCTTTGAGGCAAGCAACAACCACTGCTATCTTATAGAAGAAAACAAATACAATTGTTGGATGGCAATGTTCAACTTTTGGGGCCTGCATTTTATATATACAGCTTTGGTGCATAGAGAGTCCAGGCTTAACGGAGAGCTAAATGGTACTAGCATGCAAGAAAAGACACAAGCCTCCTGCAGAAAACTGGGAAGGAGTGGGAGGCACTTCTGTCCTTACCTTCGGCTGATCACAAAAGCTGCAATGAGGATGACCACGAGCACCACACTGCCAGAGACGGAGACCAGCAGGACAGTGGAGTTGGCTCCATCCCCAATGATCCGGGAAGGCACTGGAACGACAATTACATGGGGTCTCATGGGGGCAGTCCTAAAAGGTGGAACTTGTTAGCCCATTCAACATCCATGTTAGCAAATCCATGCCATAGCGTCTGCTAAGCAAATCCCACACCACCACTCCCAACCATTCTGCTATGAATATAAAAATATATTGATGCCTTAATATCTTTTTGTCAAAAACCTCACATAATGAAGAACTATATTCTTTAGTGGAAAACATATATGGAAAATTCATAAAGTTTGCTCTACCTTGATCCCCAGCTATTAAAATCCAACCTATTAGATAGAGGTCAGCTCAAAGCACTCTCCTCCTCCTTGTAGATTTCCTATATAACAGCAAAAATGCCAGTGTCCCTTATACTCATCTCAACTTTCCCATCTGTCTTCTTCATCCTCATTTAATAATTTGTCAATATGAACAATTTATATCTGTAATAGACATTGAAAATTCTGTCCCAGCATCTCCTTATCAAGTAGGCCCAGCCTGGGCTAAGTAATTAAGGAGGTGGTGATCTCTTGCTCAGTAAACTTGTGTTCAGTTGCCCATTCCAGCCCTCCAGGGAACAAGACTTAATGTTTCTACAAAGGACTTAAAAACATACATGCACACTAATGACACTATTTAAACAGATTCCTGGAAATAAGTAGGAGGGGGTGAAAGGGTAATTTTGGTTCCTTCTTTAATCTCAGGAAGAAAACTCTTTTCCTTAAAGTGGGGTGACTACAGAACCTTCAATTAGTTAGGTTAGCAAACCCATTATTCATGGTTGGTAGAAGGTTCAAAAAGATAAACATTGACATCGTTTTTCATTCATAGGAAGACAGATGAGAAACTCTTATGAAAAACATTCTTCAAACAGCACAAGGGTTTCTTAAGAGGTAGACACTGGCTACTCAGTTTCATGCAAATATCCACAGTAGCCAAATGCTTACCTAGCTTTAAAAAAAAGAAAACCTATACACAGCTCTTTGGGTTTCACTAGAGTGGAGCTCAACCTATAAATGAATCGTCAGAGAATGGGTGACACCTGGGTGGTCTCTGTTACCTGTATTGGTAGTGACTTCCAAGGGCTCGCTGAAGTCTCCATAGCCGGCGGCAGTCCTGGCTCGCACGTGGAAAACATAGGAAGTCAGCGGGTTCAGGCCTTTGATATCTGTGTTCCTGGCAGCTGTCCGAACTATGCGATAGCTTCGTTCATTCTGATCCTACAGCAGAGTGAAGCATAATTGGTGAGCTATGAAATCAGTTTTTTGACTCCAGGCAGGAGGAGGGAGAGACTCCAGCTCCCCAGGAGTCTGGAAGCAAATGACTGGACACCAGGTACATTCCCTAAGCCCCATGTTCTCTGCAATGCTCTGCAGTGTTGAAGTACTGGTGTCCTTTTTTTACAGTTAAAAAGGAGGCGGGGAGGGCTTCAGGGTCATTGTTCACATTGATCATTCTATGCGTTTTATTTATAATCTTTTGGAGCTTTGAGAATGAAGTCATCTGTTTTTGAAAGGAACATCAAGTGATGGTCAATGTTTTTTCTAGTTTTTAGCCCCAAATTATTAAGAAATTGAAAACAGCATTACGATCTTTTATTTCGGACCCTTATCTCTTGTGTGTGTGTCCTCTGAGTCCTCCTTCGTGTGTAATGGACTGGGACACAAGTGTGCACAGGGACCACACATTTCTATTCCTTCTATGACACCCTGCCTCCCTTGCAAAGGCCTCTTTTCTGTCTGGAAAGTGGCAAAAAATATTATAATCTGATTTCAATTAAACAATCCAGTCCCCCTCCTATTTCAAATAAGGAAGCCAGTTGGAGACTCCTTTAATCCCAGCACTTAGGAGGCAGAGGCAGATGTATCTCTAAATTTGAGGCCAGCCTAGTCTACAAAGTGAGTTCCAGAACAGCCAGGGCTACACAGAGAAACCCTGTCTTTAAAAGAAAAACTCCAAGGGAGGCAAGAGGAGGGAGGCTGATTGTTCATTTTCTGGACAAGGTTGGAAGCAAATAGCTTTCTTCAGAACTCTGTCCACTAAGAGACAAATTATTTGCAAAATTAATGCCTTTCTATAAATGGCTGAGGAATGTAATTTTCCTCTGCCAATTTTCTGTTAAAAGTCATCAAAACCCACACCTTTATTTTGAACAGCAGTGATCTGCTTAAACATGTCATTAGTTTAGCAGTTATGAGTCATGCTGCATGATAGAAGATATATAGATTAGGTCTTGATTTCTTTTACTCGAAAGAAGAGATAATTATATTAGAACATTGTGTGTGTTTTTCAAGATAACGAGTCAAATATTACATTTCATAATCAGATTTGTTGGGAATTGAGATGCATTTGATTTTCTTTTTACTGCTGTTTCATGATTTAGAGCTGTCTAATGTTTGAACAACACAGAGGAAGGAATGGAAAGAAAGAGAAAGGGAAGGAGAGAGAGAGGAAGAAGGAAGGCAAAGAAGAAAGAGGGAAATACCTTTTCATAATATTTGACTTCATATTCTAAGATGACTCCATTTGGTCGATCGGGTTCCAGCCAAGCCAGCGCCACACTGTATCTTGTAACTTCTTTAGCCTGGACCAAAGCAATGGATGATGGTGCTATGGGGAGAAAGAAAGAAAGAAAGAAAGAAAGAAAGAAAGAAAGAAAGAAAGAAAGAAAGAAAGAAAGAATCATCTTACTTTAAAAAGAAACATGCTTCAGGAACCCACTACTCAACAATGTCACTTGACTTCAGAGACCCATGTCTTTCTGAAGGCCATGGTGCCTTCTCCAGAGAAGAGCATTTATCACTGCCACTGTCTCCAGACCTTCCTTTGTATAGGGCTTGTCTTTAACAGATCATCTGTGAGAGAACTGAAGACGCAGTTCTGTGTGTAAGGCTTGCTTTGCAATCATGAGGATCCGAGTTTGGATCACCAGTACCCATAGAAAAGCTGGGTGTGGTTGGCACTGATTTGTAACTCTGGAAGTAGGGAGGTGAGTAGGGAAGGATCGAGGAGGACGGTGGTGGCTTGACCAGGTTTGGCTTCCATGGACTCATGTATTTAAATGCTTAGCACTATGAGGAGGTGTGGTCTTACTGGAGCCAACCCTTCTGCTCCCTTCAAATCAAGATGTAGAACTCGAAGTTCCTCCAGCACCATGTCTGCCTGCAAGTTGCCAGGTTTCACGCCATGATAATGGACTAAACCTCTGAAACTGTAATCCAGCCCCAATTAAATATTTCCCTCTATAAAATTTGCCTTTGTCAAGGTGTCTCTGCACAGAAATGGAAACCCTAACTGAGACAAAGACGGTGGATATTCTTCTATACCTGATGGCCATTGAGAAACTACACATAGAAATAGGTGTACACACATACATACACAATCAACAAGTGAACCAATGGGTTGGTGACTTTAGGAGCCCAGTGTCATTTCCCTGGTTTCTGAAACAACTTTTGCGATTGGGCAATGGGTATAGGGCTCACTGACTGAGGTGTTCTTTTACAAGTCATAGTTGCCTCAGGCAAACCTTCATTCAAGCTGAGCAAGCCTTTTACCCTACCTCCAAGTACCAAGGTATCTTATTGATACTTAATTTTATACAAGCAGAAGGATTTGCCATTCTTCCACAGTTACTGTAGGGAATGCTGGAAGGCAAATGATCTATACACCTTCCAATATAAATAAAAATACTGCTTAATTACAGTAAGACTTTCTGTTTGAGCATGGCCATGCAAATAATGAAGAATACAAATAAAAGCCGAGATAGTCTCTCTGGACATGAATGATATTATGCAACTATTTTACAAGAGGTTGAAGTTGTTCTTGTGCCTGGTGGGCTGCAAACCTTCCTTTCCACTGAGAAAAACATGAAAGCATTTTTCATGGGTATGTTACTAGGGTGGCAGGGGGAAGGTGGTACAAACTAGAGATTTATAAAACCAGGCTGCCCAATGCTTGCATCTATCCTATGTGGAGTTGTCATCTCTGGTCAGCTGTTAGCGAACTTTGCTGTGACAGACATGAGCCAGTGCCAGCATACAACCCCTAGAGAGAAGAGGAAACTTCCATGAAATCCTTCATCTAATCTCACAAAGCTGGCTTCAAGTACCAGAGATTAGGGAGCTTGCTAAATTGAATGCATATTCACCTTACTCTCCAAACTGGGAATGTGAAAACGGGCTTCTGACAAATGAATGTTATTCTCCCTTGTACCCATGAGGCAGCCAATTCTCAATGAAGGAAGGAATAAGTAAGTTAACACCAGAAGCAGAATATGGAAAGAGTCCAGACCCGCCTGACCATACATGTTGCTTATGTATCCTAGTGGCATAAAAGTGAGACTCTCTATGACAGAGCCAATCCAGCAAGGGTTGTTGTCTCTAGAGGCAGATACTGACAGTCTGACATCTCTGTTAGGGATGCCCTAGGATGGAAATACGTTCAGACATTTCTCCCAGTGTCTCTATCTCTCTCTGTTTCTGTCTCTGTGTGTCTCTCTTTCTGTCTGTCTCTCTCTCTCTGTCTCTCTCTCTCTCATATATCCAAAGCTATTCCAGATTGGAACTCAGGCATAGACACCATTGAAAGATACAATGCAATACACATGGTCTCCATCAAAGGCAAGGCCAAGGTTAGCAATACCCAACTGGATGAACAAAGCTGCCTGCAGCACATATGGAAGCCACTGAACATCTGAAGAAAATGGAGAACGGAAATGTGCTTATTAGATGTATTAACACACACACACACACACACACACACACACACACACACCACGCTTTTCTTTTTCTGTGCTAGTCGGCATAGAACTTTTAACCTATAGAATTCAAGGAGCAAGTTTCTTAAATATAGATAGAGGTAGAGAGGCAGCCAGGCTCAGGAGGCTGCCTGACTGTGAAAAGCCATTTCACTCCAGGTAATAAATATATTGCCTAACAGAGCACTTTAGCATACACTCAATAAAAGGGGCCTCTTTAAGCTCTGAAGTTCCTGAGATTGAGAAATGAAATAGAAAAGGGAAGCCATTACAGAAGAGGCAGGAGGGAAGCAAATCAGAAAATTATCAAATGAACTTTCTCTCAGAAACAGTCTGGGTTGGATTCTGGGGAAAAAAAAAAAAAAAAAAAAAAACTGACAGAGTCTCTGGACAACAATAGCCTGGATGCCCCCAGAGAGTGCCGCTGGACTAAAATGGCTTCTCTCTGGCTACGTTATGAGGATGCTGTGGCACAGGGAAATGAATCCAATTTCAATTTTTGAAGTTTGAGCAGCAGCATTCCTGTAACCGCTGAAAAGGGATCAGGGCTCAGCCTGGATATTGTAAACTCTCAAGAAGGGAGACAACACAGTCTGATCCCTTCGTTAACAGAATAGTCTTAATGCACACTTCCTTGGGAAATTGAGATGTATGCACTGGTGCAAAGGAAAATGGGCAGAGTGGATCTTGTCTGAGATGTCATAAAAATGCAGGAGAGAGAAACGAAAGAGAAACACAATGGGAAGGAAAGACAATGAAACCTATCAGATGAGGCCAGCCAGAAGAATTCTGAGTTGATGCTTGCCTTTGGTACCATCTACAGAAATACAGAACGCATAGCTCTAATTCACAAAAAGTGCCCCATGATGTGACTGTCATATTTGAATTCTTGATTGAACAGCTGTTCTTGGAGGGAGGAGGGGATATTTAACTGGGCACAGTGACAAAAGCCATCCACGGCCTGGAGAAGCTGGGAAACATACCTAAGTCAGGCATTTGCACATGGAGCGCTCTCACAGAAGAGCTTTGTCCCTCCCCTGGGAAGAACTCGGGCTCTGCCATATTGACACTTTGGGAAAGAGGCAACTTGGATGTCCTCCATATCACAAGCCACATATGGGTTCGCCCCTCGCCTTTTTCTACCCTGTTTCCAACACAGCCTCCAATTCTACATCTGGAAGCCATCAGCTTGCCGTGTGTGCCTGCCTGCAGTGCATTTCCCTCGATGAGGCACTTGGCAATGGAATGTCCCCATCGGTCCCTTAGCCCAGTGGTTCCCAAGCATCGGTCTTCTTACAGCACCCATGTGCCACCATCCTCCAGCCCCCGACAATGTATATCATGAATATGTAATATTTATTTGAAACTGTGTTACACTGAAAGGACACGTCCCAGTAATAAGCACTATTATCACTTCCAATTAATGACAGATAACCATAACAATATAAAATGTAAATGAAACCACGTTATCATTATCAACCTTTGATGGGTACTCTTGCCTCCCCAAACTTTGTTAAAATTCAAGATTACACAGCATTAAAGAAACATCGAGGCTATCCAGGCACTGACTTGAGATCCTGACCTTGGTATACTCAGAATTACTGAGAATGTTAAGAAAAAAAAAAAAAGCAAACTACCTTTACATAGAGTAATCCCTTCCTTTGTTACAACCCAATGGTCCTTTTCCCTAGGACAATCCTCAATGCCACCACTGGTACCTAGGCATACCTGCTTATCCCCAGTCCATCTAGAAATGTATTGGTTTTGTTTTTTTGCTTTTTTTTTTTTTTTGACAGGGTTTATCTGTATAGCCCTAGTTGTCCTGGAACTTGCACTATAGATCAGGCTGGCCTTGAACTCAAGAGATCCACCTGCTTTTGCCTCTGCCTCTTGAGTGCTAAGATTCTAAGGATGTACTACCACACCTGGGTTTAACCATACATCGTCATTGTCATCATCATCATAGTGCCGGGATTCCACCCAGAGCCCTGAGAATTCTTTCCAAGTCCTTTACCATCAAACTATGTCCCCAGTTCTATGCCTGTTTTAAAAGCCACACTGCAAGAAGGGATAATGACACTAATTGGTAATATTCAGGTAGGGAAAGATGGGTATGATGCTCGCAAAGGCAAGCATGATGAGAGGGTGATATCTAAATAAAGATTTATGTTCTCATTCAGTTGTGCCCATAATTTTCATGGTTTTGTGGCAATATTCTGAATAGCAAACAGATGACAATTGGCCTAGTTTGAGATGTGGCTAAGAGCGCAACTTCTCCTCTTAGTCTCAAGGGACTGCAGTTTTCTTTAATCCCAAGGATAACCTTCATTTCCTCTTTTACTTACAAACCATACCAATACAACCATTCAGCCATTCCAAAAATAAATAAATAAATAAATAAGAATATGCTTTATGCCTCTGCTTAGGAATTTATATTGGCCCGGAAGCACTGCATAAGACAAGACGGTACTGGGACTGGAGGATGGTGTAACAAGAAAGGTACCATGAGTCACAAAGTATTCTCATTAATTTGAGGTAAGGCCTGTGTGGTATGGTGGTAGAGCACACCTGTATGTAATTCAAGCACTGGGGAGGTCGACCCAGGTCAGAGATTCAAGGTTAAACTCTGCTACACAGTAAATCCAAAAGCCAGCTCGAGCCACTTGAGACCCTGTCTCAAAAGACTTCTCAAAAGACTTGTGTGAGGAGGAAGCAGGATAGGTAAGGGTGGAGCTGGGACAAACAAACATAAATTCTCTCTCGGGTTTTGTGTGGAAGAACTCCTCCAATGCATAAAAAAAGGAAGAAAAAGATAAGTATTCAATCCATACACTTTAAATATATTTCACTTAAA